GCGGGCAACACATGGTGGGATCGCCAAAGTTTATCAGCAACTCACGGCGTATGCGACGGCCCTGCGAAATCACCACCGCCAACAACGGAAAAATGAAGGCATATGAGATTGGCGAAATCTACCTCGAGGCCAATGACACGAAGTACACCATTCATATCGGAGACGTCCTCGTCGCACCTGACCTACAATACAATTTGCTCTCGTCAGCGCAACTCATGCGGTGCGAAATCGACATTCGCAGCAATCGAGAGGAGAAGACCTTTGAGCTCTTCCACAAAGAAACTTACATCGGAAAGGCGATCAATAACGATGGAGTCTTCATGCTGCAATTTTCAGCTCAGGGCACCACCAGCGATTCCCACCGCACACTGCTGTTGAAAACAACTCCCACAGAGCCGCCAACATGGTCACATCCTGACAAAATGGATCTCGAGCGACCTGCCTCCGACGGCCTCCTGCGCCTGCGCACCGTTCCGACTGCCTCGACCACCAACCCTGCTGAAACCGGACCTGCCACAATGGAAGAAGACAGCGGCACGTCAGGACCTGCAACACAACCAACCGAGGAAAGCAAGCCGGCAGAAACACGCTGGCCGGGCTGGAACACTTCCGAGCCCGCGCTCGGATCCCAAGGAGAAGTTTTAACTCCAGAAGAAGCAGCCGCAAGCGGGTGGGGCGCCGTTTCAACAGATGAAGTTGGCGCGACCAGCTAGGGGACTCCCTCTGCCCCAGCAGAGGAAGTTGGCGCAACAGCAGGAGAAGCAGTCGGAGAAGCAGAGACATTTGGAGACGCATGGGGCACCGGAGGAGGATGGGGCACCTCAGCCGAAGCAAAACAAGAACACGCCGAAGCAGCTGGCTTTCCTCCCGCGGAATTCGCCGTCGTCGACCCATACTGGGCAACTCGCGGCACCTGCTGGGGAGGTCCACCTCTCCCAGATCAATACGCCCCTGACACACCCGAGCCAATACCAGAAGAAGAGGAGACCTACGAATTTATGGGAGAACTAACGGAGTTGCCCGAACCTACCGAGGAGCCGGAGCCGCCAGTCCAAGGACCACAAGAAATTGAGGTCATCGGCGCTGAATACAGCTATTTCAGAATCCCCATTACGGGACTCCCAGTTCGAGAGAGGCCCAACCACTGCATGCTCGTTACCAGAGACCAAGTCGAAGTCGGCGACACCGACGACATCATCGGGATTCCCCGCGCGCTTCTGGAGCGAAAAGCAATTCGCGCGCTCGCCGCCGATACCGACAACGCCGCCAACGCAGGACCTGAAGGGGAGGGAAACGACGAAGCAGCGCAACAAAAATATTATCAGAAGACGGTCGGTTACCATGCGGACCCAGAAACATGGCACTAACGGCTCGGCCATCCCTCCCACGCCACGCTCAAAAACTCGCTCAAGGCCGGAGACTTCGACAACGACGCGCTCCTCCTTCTTTGAAACGGTTCCCTCACCGCGGACTCACCTAACCCGCCGTGCATCATCTGCCCAACCGCGTCGCTCAACCACCAGCCGTTCCCTCATTTGCCCTCAGGGTATGAACGCTACAAGCCGCTGGACAAGGTTTACAGCGACTTTATGGTGCTCAGCCAGGAAAGGCTCGACGGGGAGGAGTATACACTTACTTTCATCGACGCATCTACTCGCTACGTCTGGGCCGTCAACACCAACAGCAGGTCTCTGGCCTTCGAGTGCTTCATTGCGTGGATGAAGCGGGCTGAGCGACAGTCCGGTCTCAAACTCAAAACCTGGCAGACGGACGGAGCCCTAGAGTTCTTCTCAGACGAGTTCAAGGAGCTCCTCAAGCAGAAGGGGATTGAGCACCTGGTGTCCCTGCCCTACGCTCACTAACAGCAAGGAGTAGCAGAACGGACAAACAGAAGCCTCGCCACGCGGATGAGGGCTCTGATGAAGCAGTCGGCCATCCCAACAAAATATTGGCTGTTTGCGATGAATCACGCTGTTTGGCTGCACAACTTGTTGTCCTCGCGAAGCCTCGAGAACAACAACTCTCCCTACCGGGCATGGACGGGCAGAAAAGCAGATACATGCCTACTACGGGTGTTTGGCTGCATGGTACGGTACAGACCCCACACTGCGAGAACTGGAAAAATTGCTGACCGGGCACGATGGGGCATCCACCTCGGGATCGAGAAGGAATTCAAGGCGTGGATCGTGCTGGACTACGCGACACACGAGGTGACGAAATCACGTGACTGCATCTTCTACGAGAAGCTGACTCTGCCCCTTTTTAAGGAGCACCAGGAAGCCGACAAACTTCCCGAGAGGCTCTTCGAGGGCCACCGCAGCTTCGCCACGTCACATGACGAAGCTGACCTGGCCGAGGATGCAGACGCACCTGATGTCACCCCAATGGACTCCGCTCCGAGCATCCCCCTCACAAGCCAATTCGGGACTCCGATATTCGTACCTCTACACCAACCCAATCCTGACGACATAACACGCGAGGCTCACAACTACAACATTGAGGCACGCTGATCACCTGATGCCGAGTTACCACTGCCCAACACGTTGCAGGATACCCTCTGCCTCGGCAACGACAGCGATGACGACGTGGTCGAAGTTACAAGCTTCCACGACTACGACCGACTTCACTACGAAAAGACTGACGAAACCGGTCTCCGCGTTCTCGGCCTCGCCGTCGCTGTTTGCCACAACTCGCCCAAGGAACCAACCACCGTCCGCCAAGCCCTGTCTGGCCCCGACAGTGACAAATGGAGAGCAGCCATGGCCACCGAAATCGCGTCTCTAAAGAAACGTGGCACCTGGAAGCTGGTCCCCCGGTCATCGGCAAAGGGGAGAAAAATCCTCAGCGGAAAATGGGTTTTCCGCATCAAAACTCTCGCAGACGGCTCGGTCGACAAGTACAAGGCGCGTTGGGTGGTACGGGGATTTGAGCAAACATACCTGGTGGATTTCACTCTCACCTACGCTCCAGTCGGCCGCCACACCTCGGTGCGCATTCTCATCTGCATCGCCGCAGTCAAACAGCGGCCGCTCCGGCAAATCGACGTCGGCAGCGCCTTCCTATACACTCCCGTCGATGCCATCATCTTTGTCGAGCAACCGCACGCATTCGAAGAAAACGATGGCGCCGTGTGCCTCCTCCAAAAATCCCTCTACGGAATCAAGCAGGCACCTCGTCTGTGGCAGCAGTACCTCCATTCCATCCTCCTTAAGCTCGGTTTCACTCAACTGCCGCACGATCTTGGAATGTACAGGCGGGAATCACGCGGGAAATTTATCCTCCTCGTCACCTACGTCGACGACCTCCTCTACACCGGCGACGACACGGAGCTGCTGGACCAGTTTGAGGCTGATATCAAGGAGAAGCTGGAGGTGACAGTAAACCACAACGTCACCCAGTTTCTCGGCCTCAATGTGACTCAGTCCGCATCCTCCATTCACCTCTCCGCCGCCAAGTACGCCGAAACACTCGCAAAGCGATTCGCCATCGCACCGATCAACCTCACCACCCCTTATCGCACTCCTCCTCCTACCCACAAGCCCGACACCACACCTCTCTCTCCCGACAACCATCGTCTCTATCAGCAGCAGCTGGGATGTCTCCTGTTCGCCGCCGTCACGTGCCGACCCGATCTCTCCTACGTCGCAAGCCAGCTCGCACAGTACCTGAAGCGACCTGAAGGGGAGAACCTACTGGATCTACGCCAAGCACTACAGTACTTCATCTCCACTCCCGACGTCGGTCTCACCTACGAAGCTTATCTCACCGCTACTCTACAACTCCATGGCTACGTAGATGCCAACCACGCTGGAGATGTTGACAACCGACGCTCCCGCACAGGATTCATTTTCCAACTCCAGCCAGCGGGACTCATCTCCTGGAACTCCCAGAAACAGGAACTCATCGCTCTTTCGTCAGCAGAAGCAGAATTCATCGCAGCGAGTGCAGCTGTTCGCGAAGGACTGTACGTGATGGAGCTCCTGCAGGAGGCGAAAGTGACGATGAACGGGCACGTCACGTTACTCTGCGACAATCAGAGCGCGATAAAGATTGCGAACAAGCCCGGCTTCGTCAACCGCACCAAGCACATCGCCCTTCGCTACTTCTTTGTGAAGGATGAAATCGACAAGGGGAAAGTCAAGCTGACGTACTGCCCGACCGGTGACATGGCAGCTGATTTCCTGACGAAGAAACTGCCACGTCAACAGTACCAACGCTGCACCGACCTCTGCGGGATCGCCAAGAAATCCCACGTGGCCCACCTTCAGGAATGAAGGGGAGTGTTGAAACAACCGAAAGGTTATATAAAGCATTCCCGAAGCTGCTCCACTGTACTGGTACCGCAATAGCTCATATAGAGCATGCGGAATGTCGAGGGTCACCCGAAGGTCAACCGTCTGAGGAAGTCAACGGTCATGACCTTTGACGATCCAGCAACCGCGCGACAGTTAACTCACTGCAACATGGTAACTGACGAGGATAGCAATAGTCGCGGTTATTGTAGCTATACATACAGTTAATAAGCGAATGTACCCCTTAGAGTACATGGCTAGCTAGATTTCTATTTAATCCTTTGTACTCCTATCTTTCAATCATCTTGTTTTCTTTCAATTATTATTCAACAAGGTCACTACAGAGGCTTCACTGTCTCCTCCCAGACTTCTGAGATCCTATCCTGTCTACTGAATCCTCTGGTTATATCTACATGATGCATTATCCATCTGAGTACCTATGGCATCCCCTAAAGTACGTAACACAACATGACATTCTTACAATACAAAACATCCACCCACCAATCGCAGTATGTATGTATGGTACAAACTATGGTATGAGGGACCCAAGTGTCTCTAAAACCTGCACATGGAGCAAATAAAATGCATAATGCCATGTTGGTTAGAGCAAAAAACCGTGTCTGGAGTTCGACACGCTATTGCACATTCATCTACAATCCGCTGCCACTAACCTGTTCCATTGTGGGTCTCTTGGACGGGAATCGGGATTCACTGAGTGCACCGAAGAGACAACTCTGCCAGCCCTTCCACCTGGAGAAAGAGGGAGGAGGGTGCGGAAGGGGTGAGCAAGGGTTTGAGACATCCGAAATCTCTTACAAACGGATTTGACTGGGTGCACCCAAGAGCCAGCCCTGCCAACCCCTCCACCTGGAAAGGTGCAAAGCCCACGCAAACAGTTTGCATGCCATTTCTTGCTGATTTGAGTCACTGTGCGTTGGCAATGAAAAAAAGAGGTAAGGGTTTCAATGGCATCTGAGTGGAGGCAGCAGGCAGAAGGCAACAGGCAACGCACCTCGTGAGGGTTGAACTCGTCTGCAAGCTGTGGGTCCACCAGCGCTGCCAGGTTGTCCCGCCACCCACAGCTTCTGCCGTGCCTGCTGTTTGGGACGTGGTGTAGAGGGGAGGAGAGGCCAGGCCACGGAGGAGAGCGGTCGGATAGAGGGGAGGTTATGAGGGAAATGGGTGGGTGGATGAGGGAACAAGGGGAGAAGATGTGGGGCAGAGAGGGGAGGAACAGGCAGGGTGGAGTAGGGAAAAGGATGGAGCAAAGGAGCAGGTGGAGGGGGCAGGAGGGGGGACAGTGTAGGGAAGAAGAAAGAGCAGGAGAAAGGCTTATTGCAAAGCGTTGGAGAAATGTGCAAGAGGCAAGCAGAAGCTCACCCATTCAACGAGCGAGGCTGGCATGCGGCGTGGGTAGTGTGGGTGCTGCCCTAAGATGATTTCAAACACCACCACCTTGAACGCAAACACGTCTGCCGCCTCCATGCCCCCCTGCCCCTTGCCAGCTGTAGCAGTCACGACTGTAGCAGCGGCTGGAGGGGAGGAGGAGGCAAAGGGGCTGCGGGGCTTGGTGGGGGAGGAGGCAAGACGCTCTGGAGCGGCATAGCTGATGGGGGGGTCGATGTGGAGAGAATGGGGGGAAGGGAAGAGGTAAGGGAGAGGATTGGAAAGACGAGAGAGAGATATGGGGTGTGCAATTGATCTACACGGGTGGGTGTGGAGGATATTTAATTTTCCCTGTCGAAATTTGTGGTTGTTGAGGGTCACTCACGCATCAAGGTACTTGTCTTCTGTAGACCGCTCTTCTACATCCCCATTCCCATTTCTCCCACCACCATCCGCACTACTAGCAGCACCAGAAGCACTACTAGCACCACCAGCACGCACCACCAGCACTAGCAGCGGCGGAAGCAGGGGTGTGTGGGTTGAAGTGGGGCATGCCAAAGTTGGAGAGTTTGGGCGCCACGTGGCGATCCATGAGGACAGCACGCAAGCTCACACGGCCGTGCATGATGGGCGGGTGACAGAAGGAATGCAGATGCAGCAGTCCCTCTACTACTCCCTCCACGACTCGTATGCACACCTCCCACGGGAGGACTGGCACCGCCTCGTCTGCACGAAGGAAGGCGAGGGGGTGAGTGTTTGCAAAAGAAAGAGTGAGTACAGTTCACGCACAGGTGCAGCCCCTTCGCCATGCCTTCCACCATCCGAGCACGCACCTCCTAGGGAAGTACACGGGTATGCAGAGGAGAGGACATGTGTGAGCTTAACACATGCACCCAAAACACACATCCCAACCACGTGGTACACCCACACTTACCGTCGGTGTGCAGGAGGTGAGAGAAGCGAGGGGAAGGGGATGTATTTGAATACAAGGACACTATAGTCCAGGCCAATGCCGCACCCTAGCATCGTTGTCAGGTCCGGATGGTGCACCTGGAGGGAGGCAGCGTTAGGGCAAGGGGGGGTGTAGAGAGTGGGGACACAGAAGAAAGGTGAGGAGCTGCATTGTAGTCATGTTCGATGGAGCACCTGCATGTGGAGCATAGAAGGGGTAAGAAGGAGCTATAAAACAGACATCAAGGACCAACACCACTCTCAACTCCCCTTTTTACATCCCTCCCACTCCTCATCTGGGCAAGTGCCTCGGCAACGATCTGATTCACCCACTCCTCCCCACTCCCACTCTGCTGCACCACCATCATATCACTCCCCGCGCCCAGCGTGCCTTGATACACCTTCCCCAGGTACCTCTTCCGCATCCACCGCTTCTTGCTGAACCCCTTAGTCCCCTCCACCAGGTCGAAGTAGGAGAACTGCGACTCGTACAGCGGTGCCACTTCTAACAGCGAATCCTCCGCGGTTCATCCTCGCGTATATCCACTATCGAGACAGGCTTTCCAGGGTTGGAACCCATGGAGCCCATGCCGCCCATGAAGGTTGAGATTGGCGTAGCGCCAGAAGCAGCAAAGAGGGCAGAAACTGCCGAAGGAGGGGCGGATGAGGGGGAGCGAGAGATCGACAAATCGGAAGAGAGTAGAGGCAGAGCCAAGTCCGCCCTGATCTCGCTCAGGAGCGGAGCATTGGGAGTTGGACTACGTGGGGAAAGCACGAGTGGTGCTAATGATCATAGCTTTGCTTGTGTTCTCTCTACTTGCGCATTCACGGGGAGAATTGGTAAGAGTTTCACTAGCAAAAGTTGGATACACAATGATGCAAAAAACAATGGCAACAATGACTACATTAGTGGCCTAGCAACCTAGCATACTGGCAGGTCAACCTCCAGCGTAGTACGCGGTTGGCTTGCCAGCATGGCAAGTCGGCGGCCTACCAGCGCAGCTCGAAGGTGGCTTGCCAACACTGCAAGACGGCGACGTGTCAGTGCCACACCAGCGCAGCTTGTCAACGCTGCGACCGCGGTTGACTATAGCGCACATGCGCCTGACCAAGTCGACGGTCGTGCACGTCGTGCTTCGCCCCACACACCACGCAGTCGCCAAGTTGGCCACGTGCAGTCAGTTGCACTAAATGCACCACGTCGACCTCGGGATACCAACACGCAGGTCGACTTCGCCAAAACCTCCTGGCGACTTCCGCGCACCCTCGCAGAACTTCGTCGACCAGGTAACCAAGTAGACCAGGTAATATCCCCAGCGCCCACAAGTCAGCACCCCCAGGTTAACAAACACCTTCGTCGACCGCCCGGTCGAAGTCAGCTACCAGCTTCACATTGATGACTTCACATTGGTGCCGCGGAAGTCGACCAAGTCTGTCGACTTCCTCTCCCAAGTCGGCGTCGACCATTGACTGCAGCCGGCTGCGCCTCCAGCACTCCTTACCACAAAGTCGGCTTCGCCCAAGCAAGGGCGGGGTCATTACCCGTCAACATAGTCCTTGTAAAGATTATGCAGCAGAAGACGGGAATTCCTGTGCTAGTAGTTGTGAGAACAATGAATATTAATAATAAGAAAGTACAAGAAATATATAGTCTAGAAAAGTACCTATTTATAATGTACGTGTTCACTAACCAGGCTGTTTTATCAAGTCGACTCTGAAGCCACAGTGACATTCACCTATAATAATATTACGATACTACCATAGTAACTCTCGATCAAACTATTGAATTGCTAAGTACTACTATAAAAACCAACACTTCCCTTCAATTCAGGAGTTTGATGTTATCAGTGTTGTTGACGTGGCCGAGTCCAGTCATCAGCATACATACTGGAACTTCGGGCGCGGCAATCGTCTGGTCAAGAAGTACACGGCCATTTCGCTCACGGGGCAGTAGGTGAGCTGTAACTTTCCTTGCTCGATTTTGTCCTTGACGAAAAATTAACGCAGCAAAATGTGCTTAGTTCGGTTGGCGAAGCCAGACTTGTTCGCGATGCGAATTGCGGACTGGTTGTTGCAAAAGAGTTCAAACTGAGACATGCCCAGTAACTTTGCTCCACTGAGTAACTCGCGAAGTTAGGGACCTTCCTTTGTTGCAGTGCAGGCAGAGATGAACTCAGCCTTCCGCTAGCAAAAATGCAATCAGCTCCTGCTTGCACGACTGCCAGGAGATAGTGCCAACAAGCTCAAGGCGAAATATAAATCCCATGTATGAACGCATGTTTGTAGTATCACTTGCGTGATGTGCATCTACATAGTCGAGTAGCGAAAGTGTAGACTGCGGCGACTAATGATAAGTCATACCAATCATACGTGTAGATACGAAATAGGAGACCTCGGCTTCCAACTCCCTTAGTTTCTCCCCTTCAGGTCACTTAAGATATTGAGCAAGCTAGCTAGTAGAGTAAGACAAGCCCGAATGACAGGTGACAGCTGCGAAGAGTAGACTGCCAAACAGCTGCTGTTAGTGCTTGATACCGTCAGGAGAAAGAACCGTCGTGTCAGCGGATAGAGTAGAGCGGAACGGAGTCGAAACGGTCGTTGATGGCAGAGGATATTGGTTATGAAGCTTCTCCGCACATTTCTCGACCAAAAGGTGAATAAACGTAGATGTCTCGGTGATGTTGAGACCAAGGTACTAAGCAACATTGGTAGAGATCGTCAGCGTAAGACGAGGTTGACGCTCCCCTTCAAAGTAGGATAGAATCGTCACGGTGGTACCAACGTAAGGTAAATCGTTGACGTAGCTGAGAAGCATGAACGTGCCATCACGGTCAAGGCAATACATCCCATGGTCGTGCAAAAGCTGACAAAAACCGAGTCGAATGAGTCGAATGAGATAATGCTACTAGAGACGGGATTTGTTGAGCTTGCAGACGAGAGTAGGGATGCAACAGTGCGGCTGCTGGACGAGATTGGGGGTATCAACGAGCACATGGAGGAAAGCTGTAACGACGTCAATCTGTCGTAGCTTGAGACCCAATGCAGCTGCAAAGGCGAGCAAGATGCGTAGCAATGTCTGCAACTGATATGAGAAACAATCTCGTCGTAATCGGCGCCGTGGATTTGATCGAACCAGTGAAGAACCGAACGAGCCTTGAAGCGCTCGATCCTGCCGTGTGCATCTATCTTAATGCAAAACGCCTACTTGCCGAAAATGACATTCTCTCTGGTGACCGTCAAATTTGGGATAAATTCCCAGGTATTAATATCGTGTATCGCCTTTAGCGCATTATTCATTGCTTCATGCCATTTCTCCTTGTGAGGCCCCTTTAGTGCCTATTCGGTGTTTTTCGGTTCGATAGGAATGGTAGGATTCTGTACTGCAACTACAAAACCCAATATCTGTAAGCCAGTCTGTCGATAGCGAGTATGCAACTCTGTTTCGGTAGTAGCAGCTTCATCACCGGCTTCATAATCAAAGAAGAAACCACGGCCCATCCATTCATAGTTGCCACGTTATCAGCGAACTCGTAGTAGGCTTCACTATTCACGTCGTTGTGTGGATCCGATTCATCGATCTCGATCAGAAGTGAACAGTAAGGGGCCGCACCGGCAGCTGCTAATGCACTAGAGACCGCCTCCTCCACCGCATCTGCTTCATCAGCTTCTGTGGCGAAGGTGCGTGCACCAGTACAGCCAGCTGTCAAGTCCTCAGTGTTGGTGTGCTGCACTTGCCAAGTGTTGTAAGTAAGACGTTTGTAGAACAGTGTCACGTGCCGGGACTGCAACGCGATCTTTGACGTCCCAAATTTCCATGCCACAAATTGCATTTCATCTTTCAAATGGATGACCCATTTTGCTCGTCGCGAGGAATTTGTTTGGCAGCGAGTGGGATGACAGAAGGTTGTGCAACAGCACAGCGTGGTCTATCACAAATGGCCTGTGACGCGCTGATAGTCGTGCTTCCATGAGAAGTTTGCGGATGATGTTTTGCAGCGTCCTGTTCATCATTTCTACTACCACTTGCTGTTGATGCTGGTAAGGTAGCGACAGCAGCTTCTTGATTCCTCTTTCAACCTAGGTAGTCGCGGAAGCGTTGGAAGAGATACTCCAATGCTCCGTCCGTCTGAAAACTTTTCAACTTCAAATCACTTTCTCGTTCAGCTACAGAAAGCCATGCAACGAAGGCTTCGTAGGCAAGATTGCGTGAGTGGATGAGCGCATGCCAGACGTAACGCATGGCTGCATCAATGAAGGTGATGGTGTAATTCATATATGCTCGTCCTTCTTGCCGTGGTATAACCAGAATACCACTGTAAACCTTTTTGAGTGGCTTGTATGCAGGTGCACTCGTGTTGTGTTAGGATGAAGGACGGAGTCTAGGAAGATTAAGGACCAAAATAACTCAAAATCGTTGGACTAAGTTTCTGGATAGAAGTGTTGACTTCACAAGAAACGCCACCGACGAAAGGTTCACCATTAACAAATTTCAGATATGTTGTAGCACCAGACCATGGCTACAATACCCAATCTGAATCGTATCAAGCGATGACGTAAGATTCGAGATATCAATTTTGGCGCACTGGGGGGTATGGTGGGGCTGAAACTTAAACTTAATCACAATACTCAACCCAAGATCCACACAAGGAATTGGAGTAGCTAGATACCAGGTAGGAGGGGATGAGGAGGACAAGAGAGAAGGTCCAAACTAAAACTCAATCACAATATTCAACCCAAGATCCACACAAGGAATTGGAGTAGTTAGATACTAGGTAGGAGAGGATGAGGAGGATGAGAGAGAAGGTCCCCAAAGAACCCCAATCAAGCAAACCCCATAAGCACACAATTTCCCCTCCCTATAAGAACTCAACTTTGTCATTTGTCACTTTCCAACCCATGCCATCCACCTCACCCCAACTTGGCCACACTTGCCAACCTGGTTTGGCTTCTCCCAACCACATGGCAGCAACTACAGTAGACTGACGAAATTTCCCAACCCCCAATGGTCTATACCCTATATAGAGTCACCCAACAATTTCCCATAGTCGCCGCAACCAAATGTCAAAAGCATAACTTCGAACAACCACAACTTTGCCGTTCTTGCTCCGATCGCGACGATTATTGGTTCGTCAGCAAGCTCTTGAACAGAGAAGTCATTTTAGATATCTGCTCAAGAAAAATCACATTCACACACACTCACAAATTCCAAACAACACCAAGCACAAATTTTTTGCACGCGTGGACACCACGCATGCAATGTACGAACGTAGGATGGTTTGCAGATAGACGTAAATGCAAATGACAGCATCACACAATAAACTCCCCATCTGGCTGCCAACCATCATCCCACATGCCTCATCCCATGCATGCATCCTCAATGCACACGCATCACATCAAGCTTCATTCCCTTCCGATCTTCTTCCAT